CATTCCCCCTTCACTTTCCTTTCCCCTTCATTTTCCTTTCAGTTCCCCATCGTGTCCCTTTCATTTCCTTTTGATTTTCTGTCAATTTCCCCTTCATTTTCCTTGCACTTCCCTTGCATTTCCCCTTCATTCCCCGTTGTTTCCATGCATTCCCTCGAATTTCCCGAGCCACCAGGGGATTCGAGCCTGGACCTCTGTTTTGCCACACTCCCCGAAGACTATTCTTAGGACTTAGGAGAATATCTTCCTTGTATTTGACGTGTCCTGGAAAAGGGACTGGGAAGGGGGTTATCACCATCCGACATCCTCTCTTAGGTGTTACGCCGAGCAATATCAACGGATAAAACAAGCCCATGCTTTTTCGTGGTATACTGGAAAAGAGGGTCTGTCTGTTTTTCCCATCATTTGCCGAGGAAAATGACGTATTTAGTTTTGCACCTTCGCAAGGACTGGCCTCTCACGAAAGCGCTTCCGTGAGAGACTTGTTTTGGGTATGTGAAAGGGAAACCAAAGGCAAAGTACGGGTTCTACTCATGAGACAACATCCAGGGAGGCCCCAGTGACCTATGTATACCGCACAGAGGGACTCATCTCAGCCAGTTGATCGTTATTTGGCACATGGGGTGCTCCTGGCAATCAACTAGTCAAGGGTTACCAGTGCTGTCCACCCCTTTACAGGCCCAACCACTTGTGATTGTGCTGAGATCTGATTCGGGCAATAGGGGTTGGAAGGTTTTCAAGGTGTGGCTTTGGGGAATTCCTTGGGCACCTTCAAGACGAGCATGTGTCTTCTTAATCGCACGACCCTATTTGTTTTCTCGTTCCCCACTTGATTTATGAGGAATGCTGGGAACCTCGGATTTACAAGCGACCCGCATGGTTGGACGTTTCTTTTTTTTGTTTCCCGGTTCAGACTCCGAAGCCAGGTGCTTGGTTTGAGCCATTGAACCCCCTTATTCTTCTCAACAAACATGACGAACCCCCCCCCCCAATTTTTGAATATCCAAACCACCAATTGGGCTAAAACGAAAGGGGCCCAATACATCCAACTTGAGTTGACGCAGTTGACGCGCCAAAAAACATCGCCTTCCTTCTTTTTTTTCCGGCATACTTCCCCATGGTTTGGCTTCCGGTTGAAGCAACTCGGGTTCGAACTCAAGGAGCCAAGCAATCGAGGCCTGGAGGTGCCTTTGGCGGCGCCGGGCCCGCAGGCAGGCAGTCAACCCATTGGAGCAAAAGGCTTGGTGTGCAGCATCTTTCAACCAGAGGCCTGGCATTTGATCCCCCCTTTGAGCCTCGGGGGGGGTCCTAATTTTGGGACTTGGTTTCTGATCAGAGAGCCAAAATCCCTCTTGGCCAGTTTAGTGGGTTGTGCTCTTTGGCCTGAGCTGATAGTGAGGCCCCATGCAAGCTTTCGATTGTTGTTGGTAGAGCCTAACGCAAGGGGTTTTGGGCGCTTCTGAGATTGTATTGAAATGAACCTGCTGGAATTGCCATGTTTGAAGGCGACATCTCGTGAACAGTTCAGTTCCCTGGTAAGTGGTTGCCAACTCCTGTTGTGAGCCACTCAATATGGGGTCTCCACTTGAAAATCATGGTCACTGCAAGTTGCTATGATTGGACAGGATTTGGCACACAAAATGAACCCCCAAAAAGGGGCCTCTTGGCCGATCTATTCATTTGACTTGACCAGAACCCCCTAAGATGTCGCCTTCAAACAACGCCAAGTCTCCTTGGAAAGTATGGAACGTCACAAGCTTGACCTGACAAAAATGAACAGGACGCTTGAAAGGGGAAACGCAAAGTCGGACCCCTGAACATCTATACTGGTTCTATGCAATGTAAGCATATTCTTAAGGTATGGTTGACTCAGGTGTTCCATCTCCGACCTCCTTGTTGGAGAGCCCAAATCCCTGCATACGACACATCCATATAGCTAGACCCTTGTTAAAGCCTAAGGACATGTAGCCCTTACATGGTGTTGGGGTAGCGGGCACCATCTTAGAACCCAGTCGCAGAAGTAGGTAAGCGCATCTTCCTAAGTTTCACATCCTAGTTGACTCCCAGGCACCAGCTACAGGAAACCGGAGATCCCCGTGCTTGCGGTTGCTTGGCCAAATTCCTGCCGTTCCTGTCTTGCTGGTGCGAAAGTGAGGTTTTGTGGACTCTTGCCAGGTGCAGCTGCTTCTCGACTGGCTCTCCTCCCAGCGTGAGCTGCTACCACGGGTGTGCGCCTCGGAGTGATTGACGCGGAAAGACAAGATTCAATGCTCAAAGTGATTGGTACCTGGTTCATTTGGAGGGGACACGGCAAAACTCCATACATTTCTCAAAACAAGGGGAGTCACGAATGTTCGGGTTATACAGTCAGCCATAAGGGGGTACAGTGTACCTGTGAACCGGAGTACACGACAGCGTGTTTTCAGCAAGCCTATTCCATGTACGGCATCATTTCGGCTGCAGTTGGCAAGGCCAGAGGTACTGTTGAACCCGGATTGATCTTATTCATTGACCAGGCACATATTCACTTCTTGGGCCAACACGCCCCGATGAATGCAATGTCGATCTATCCAGGCTGATGCCAAGCTCTCGGGAAGTTTCTGTTTGGCTGAACCCAAGCTCAAAGGTTTCTGTGCTGGGGACGTTCTCGGGATTCGTCCAAGTTTTTGCCATCTGTTCCTTGAAGGAAGCCTCTGAAAGGAAGCCTCATGAAGGAAGCCCCATCTGAAAAAAGCAAAAGCCTGATGGAAAGGAAGCCTCATGCTGCGAACCCCATCTGAAAAAAGCAAAAACATGATGTGAACCCCCATTTTCCTATCCGAAAACTCGCGCGAATTGAGACCGAAGGCCTCGGTGTGTTTAGTGCAGGCGCTCTTCGCCGCCCGGGACGGGTCCCTGCTGGTCGCGGGGGCCTGGCACCGAGGGGACGCAAGGTTGAGCGCATAGGGGGGTTGGGGAAGGCGCAAGGAAGGATGGAATTCGAACGGGTTTTCACAAGTCTGGGGGGTGTCATCTCCCAAACTCGGGGACAACGCCATGTCTAGAGGTCGATTCGCCACTTTTTGCAGACGCCGGTCGTTTTCTCAGGAGTTCTGGTGGTCTTCTGGGACTCCTGGGTTAAGGAGGTCCCTTTGTTGGGTTTGTTCCAGAAGTCAACAAGGAAACCCACGATTTTGCGTTCTCCTATTTAGAGACAAGCCCACGTGCGCCTTGGTCAAAACGCGTTTCTTGGGGTGGTAGAGACGGCCATGCGCCCTGCAACCAACGCAAGGAGTTTCGACCATGGCTCGTTTAGGGGTAAACCGCCTACCAACTGGTGGAAAGTAGATCCACACTATCATTTGGGTATGGGTCAAAATTAAACCACCAGGGGACCACAGGTTTTGGTCCATGTTTCCACTTGCAGGGTTCCATTTAAAATACATATTTTTGACCCACAGCCATTTGGCCGTGAGAGGCGGCTTGAAGTTGGGTACCGCGCCATTGCTGAGAAGCGTGCGTGGAAGGCTTCCACCCTTTTCGGAAAGGTTGCCAGCCATACCCTCGGACTTGTTCGAAAGCGTTGGATTTTCCACATATCCCACAAAAAGTTTGTAACTTGCAAGGGATCAACCATTTTGAAAATGAAGGACACCTATTGAAAACCCCTTCGACACACAAGCTTTTGATTCTTTCTCATGGGCTTTGGAATACTTTTGCTTAGCTGGGACCCCTCGAGAAAGGCGGCGCGCTTTTTCTCAAAAACCACAATTTTTTTCCCAAGGCGATGGTTTTTGCAAGGACACCAGTACAATCTTTCTCTCAGGGGTCCCAGTATTTTTCTCCGTTTTAAACGAAACCTGGGCGACTGGTTGGCTAAAACTGAAGGCCTGTTGAGTTCAGGGGGCTTGGGGCTCGAATCTGACAAAGGAGGAGAAGGCGATGGTTCTAAGTTTTGTAAGAAACCGTTTCCCCCTTGAAGGCGAGTCGTTGCCCCCAATGCAGACGTGGTTGCAGCCCTTGGACTCTACTTGGGTTTGGTGGGGAGGATCAACCCCTAGGATTTGTGAGGGTTCACATGAGGGAACCATGATAACATCAGTTCCGGCCTTACTTCTTGGGTGGCAAGACATTGAGAGGCGTTCGCTGGAGCGAAAGAAAAAGCACGCATTCACTTCCTTCGGAACGGTGGCCTGGAACGGTGTGCATCCGGATCTCAGATATTTAGGGAGTCCTCATGTTCCTAGTGGGCGTCACAAAACTTTCCAAGGGCACCTTTCTGTCTTCTGTTTCTGGGAAACCCCAAACTCAAATCATCCCTTGCGCCGACTGTCTCACGTAGCACAAGTGCACGGGGGGACCCAGGCTGGTGCAGCTCACGTGCACCGCGCAGGTGCGGGAACCACGGGGAAACAGGGGGAGGGGTGTGGGTGCTCTTTTTTTGGAAGACTAACACTTGTGTTTCCGGGGGTCCGGGGGTCTCCTGATTTTGAACATCCTGTGCAAGGATGGGGGAGAGAGACCAGTCCTTTGCCAAATATTGACCAGAATCTAAAATCTCACGTTTTGTTTGGGTGCGAACAAAAACTGAGGTAGATTTGCGGGCGGTTCATCCAAATGGAACGTGTTGTGTCCCGCGGCTCATGCCAAATGGTATGTCTCCGCGCTGTGCGAGGGTTCACGGTCGTGTGTTTGCAATGCAAGCTAGCCACGACTGTGTAAGGGAAATTTCCGAAATACCAACAAGGCAGGGAGCCTCTTGATTTGAACTGGTTCGTGGGTGCTTTACTGTGGCATTCTTAAAGGGAGTCAAGTGTCTCACATTTGGTACCCTGTGACTGTCATGAGTCTATCGACACAAGGGACGCGCTGAGAATTCCAGACGCCCAAAGCTCTTAGGTGGCTTGAAACATGTTTCAAGCAGTTGGCCCCCGGGCAGCAGTTGGCCCCAAGTTTAGTTGGTGGGGGGTCGAACAAGCAAAGGACTTAGTCGCCTGATTGCATGATGATTCTGGCTCGAACTTCTCCAGCACGGAGCATGTTGGGCTCCGCCACTTTACGACTCTGTGCCCTGGCTGCATTTCAGACCCGCAACTTGAGGACAGGGTGGGATCCCCATCTTGGGCCTGTTTCAAAAGGAAGCTGACGGGCAACTACTCATTTTGAGCCTGTCTTGCAAGGAAGCTTCGGGGGAAACCACCCATGTTTCCCATTATGCAGCAGGTGGCAGCACGGCACCTTTCTGGTTATCTTAGGTTTTTCAAAGAGAAAGGATTTCGTATTTGGATCCTGGTGCGTTTCGTCTGTACTCCCAAGGGAAGCCATCCGCTTGTGAACACGCCTCATTTGGGCCTGTCTGATGTCGGACTGCCTGCCGACATGTTCAATCAGAATGGGTCCCCTCATTTTAGTATATACAAAGTGAGGCCAAGCTTCCAGTTGCATTTGACAGCACCTGCCTGAGGAACATACTTGTTCAAACCTGGCTTTCAGTTGCCTGGCTGTGAAACCACCGGCGTGGTGCAGTTGCAGTTGACAGTCACACAGATTGGACTAATCCGAATCGCGCTAGTTCGAGGAACGCCTGGAATGAGTCGCATTCTCCACAGGAAGGGGTGGTCGTTGCTCACGTGAAGCTATGCCCATAAGGACCGATTCTCCGTTGCTCTGGTAGCGGTGCAAGGCGCGCTCCGGCTTGGGAAGGAATCATTGCAGCGACTCATGTTGCCTGTTGGTTGGTCTCAAAAATGTGGGCCCTGATATGGGTTTGTCTCAAAGTAGGTCATCGGTTCCGCTTTGGTTTCCCTTCAAAACAACCATCCATATTCTCCTTTTGGAAGGATTGCAGCTGCAAAGGTGGGAGTTTCATGATGCCCCCTTTTTCTTGAAAAGAGGCTTTCGATGAAGGGAGTTTCACTTGACGCCGCCATGGATGTGGTTCCCTACACATGTAACTCACTCTTTTTTAGTTTCAGTTTGCGTTTGTGGTTTTCATGTGAGATAATCTGAGATTTAATACGCTGGGATTTGTTTCGTATGTAGCCGAAATCAACTAGATGAAGAGACGCCATGGCGGAACCCCATAAAAATGGGGCCCATTCCGGTTTGGATGAAATAGAAATCCACTGGAAAGTGGAAAACAATCTTGCCTGTTGCTTCTTGGATGTTTGTTTGAAACCCCACACCAGGCACACTGAAAACAAGCACACTCGCATGCCCGTGCGCGAGCACCCTCATGTTACGGTTTGGCTTCTATTTCTTAGCTACATGTTGACGTTGGCAGCTCATCCGAGCCCGGGCAACATGACTGTCCTGAAAGGGGCAGGACATAGGAAAATTGGGGCCCGGACTCCCGTTTATGCTCCCCCCCCTCGACATCAGAATACCTGAACATCTGAAATCATACAGGGATCCAACATCTGCTCCTCTTTGCCCAAGTCAGGACTTGTTGCCAGGGTCCCGAGGTCTCTTTTCTGTGTATCCCACATGTGGGATCCTTTTCTATCCCCGGAGACCCCGCAGAAACTCCACTTTCCCTGGCCAGGCCCCATGATGCTGTGCATTGTGGCCGCGCCCTCGTGTTCTCGCCGCAAGTTTGGGTTATCGTTGCTCTTTTCCTTTTTTTTCCCAGGCGGAAAGTTGGGGACTCTCCGGAGCTCCAATATTTTTCGTAATCAAGTGTCAAAGTACCAAACGTGGGCCACCCTTTTTCCCGTGGAAATCCACTGAAGGTGTAGGTTGCGGCCTTTGAGTGGCTTCTGCAATGGAGCGGTTACTCCGCCGCAAAAGTAACATGGATCTGTAAAGATCCCGGTTGGAACATTGATGTGGATGCTCCACCATGACTTTTCTGGGAGCTCTTTTGAACCAATTTTACGTTGTATGGCTCGTTACTCCCGAATCAAACATCTCGTTTCTGGTTGGTTCGCAAAACATGAGGTGGTCTTGGGTGGACTCGCCTTAGTCCTGGTTTCGATGACTCAGGTGAGCAGTATCCATGTTGAAACGAACTGCGTTGAACTTTGATCGGTGGTTCGCCCGGGCGGACCAACCGATGTAGTGGGCATGTTACCACCTTGGAGTATTTACATTCGGACCCTGAGGCGTATATGAGGCTAAGCCTTGCTCCTCATCGGTGGGCTTCCTACCTACCCACACACTCCCCACCAAAGCAACCCAATTTGGAAGGGGGGTCAGAGGCTCCTCCTCTAAAACTGGTTCGCCTTTTTCTTCTTCGCTTCTTTGTGTAAATCTGCAGGGGTGTAAGTGTGCCATGACCAAGGTCACCAACACCTTACTTCGGATTATTGCTAGGCTCATGTATTTGCGCGGTTTGTCGGCCTACTCAAAATCATGTAGTAACTAAACGCAGGGAAGAAAAGTTAGAAGGGCAACGCTCCCAAGCTTCTGCTTCAAGCTACACAATCAATCGGACAAGTCGCTGACACTTGAGTTGACTTGGAAATTCGAATGCAACATTAACCCCCTGCAAACGCTGCCATGGGCACGAATGTGGGCCGGCTGCTGAGCTGGAGTCGTCATGATCCATCAATTTTTCTAAGGCCGAGGGTAAGGGACCCCTTTCTTATCCTACGGCAACCATGAGTCACAGGAGCCAATGTCAAAATCGTGGGTCTGTCGCATAGAGGAAGCCATTGACATGGGCCACTATCGTGGGCCCCTTTAGGTTCCTTGTGTTTTCCCTTTGGAACACCACGGCCACAAAAAGCCCAAGAAGACCTCAACACTGTGAAGGACTCTCGATCTGAAAACCCCTCCCTTTTTGGGCTGCATAGTACTTGGTGGTTCCTAGCATCCCCTTAAGTTCTTAGCTTTTTTCGGGTTTAGTGGTAGTTTCCACTGGTTCCACTAAACGCTCGACCTTTCGCAGCAGGTCTGGGAACCTAGGTTCTGGTGAGTCATCACTGTGATGTACTGATGGGACCCACTCACCACAAAACACATCAGGATCTTGGGGGCGACTCACCGAGATCCCTTGAGGCGCTGCTCTTTACATCGACCGTAGCTGGGAGCTGAGATTTATCGTGTTGCCGTGTCACCACAGTAGTATGTTTATCCCCTTCTGCAGCTCAAGTTGTTTTTCTTTCCGAATGGAGGGGTACCAAGACGGGGTTGTATTGAAATCTTGACCTCGCACGAGGTACTTCAAATAGGGCTGCTTCAAGGGCCATTTCCGGGCTGTGACGCTCCAACACTACTCAAAAGTGACCCATCGCCATCGCGATTCCAACACAGTTCCTTCAACACAACGCCTTCAGGATTGTCAGTGAGATTACCTCCTGCCACAGGGGCCTGAGCGCGGTGACAGCATGGACAAACAGCGCCGGTGGCTTCGTCCTTCAAAGCAAAACTCTGAAGTGCTTTCTGAAGCTGAGTCCTGCACATCAAACAGCTGCGTCGCATGCGAAGCCGCAACACGACTGCTTTCAATGAGGTATGATCGGGTCCCACACAGCACACGACACGCTCAACATGGGCCCCCCCATCAAAAAAACAGGCTGCCTGCTCAAGAGTCACGCCCATTTCGATTCCCACAGCCGGTCGCCATTGCCGTTGAACACGTGTGCGGCCTGCATTGCAGTTACCCGATACTCCCTTTATTGCTTCTTATTGGCATTCCTTCACCATTTTCCGAAGGTCATTTCAGATTCTAGGAGCATTCGATTGTTACTCCTATCAAACTCCACAAGATCATTTGATTATTTCAAGGGGAATCATAGGCAGATTGAATTGCTGTCTGCTTCCCTCAAATTGGATTGTATCCTAGAAATGCATTGGAAAGGGATTGGACATGGGCAGCTGCCCGAAGACTTGAAGGCGGCACAGTTGGGGGTTGAGGTGTCTGGCGGGGGTTCCTTTTGTTGGCTCGGGGCGCGGAAAGTGACTGTGCCGGAAGGGAGACAGGCACAAAGTGGCCTGAGCTGCGCTTGCCATGAGGGTTTGGAGGAACGGAATACTGGGGGAAACACAAGACATAAGTTGCAAGAAGTACATTTTGGAATGGCAGCGCAGGTTGAAGCAACCTATGAAGTAGTACGAGATGTTGCAGTATGCAATGATGAACATAGAGACCAAGAGCGAGTTCAAGGTACCCCTTTTGAAGGCAGACCCTTCTTGCACGCTGGATCACTTTGCTCGACACCAGGACCCCTCACTTTGTTCTTGTTGCATGGTTCACTTGGGCCACGCCCTGCACATGGAACCCCGACTCGGACGACTCGTTTGAGTTCTCAGAAGCCAGCATACTCCCGGCGGGTACTGGGCCCACTTCCTGCAGAATTTGCCTTTGGCGCCTTCCGCAGAATTTGGGATGAAGCCACGGAGCCGCAGGCAGAGACCTCGGAATCTGCAACTTGCGAGATGCCCAGAGCCAGAAGGGGCCGCGGGGAAAGTTCAGGGAAAACCACGAACATGGTGGTGTTTCCTTCTGGGTTTCCTGCAAAAAACAGAAACAAACGGAGCCCTCAACAAGCGACACCCCCCAAATGATTGTTTCTGAATGGGTCGATACCATGGGGGTTTCCTGAAAATCTCGGTTTTGGACTCTGCCGAAGCTGACGCCTTTTGAAGGGGCTACCTAAATGTGTCTCATATTTCGACCCAAATTTTTCGGGGTCCATTGCGGGTGTAAACTCTGCTTCTTGGGGTCGAAGTCAGCAACTGGGGTTCAACATTTGCATTCTACCGCTTGCCTTTGAACTTGATCGCACAATGACAACAAACCAAAAGGACACCGTTGCCATATGTTTTTCGCGGGGGGGGGGTTGGGGGCCATATATAGTTGAGCGGGTTGGGGGCCATATAGCACATATAGCACATATAGCATGGAGCTGGGACACTGTAAGGTTTAGCGGGTTGGGTCATGGGGATATGATGGACACATAGGGTCTATTTTGCAACCTCCTTCATTTGGGGCATTGATTTTTAAGGGTTGAGTCTGCAAGTGTCCATGACACAGGGAAGGGGGGGGGGGCTGATTTCCATTTGGGAAACGCGCGCCCATACAAAAGGGGGGAAATTTGGCCTTGTAGATTAGCAGAAACGGAACCCTTTTTTGAAATGCGTTTTCTTTGGGTGGAGGGCTGTTTAAAGGGGGCATAATATACAAGGAACCCTGGATTACCCCAGCAAAGACCCACACCGATTAGGATGTAGGCAACAGTGGGGGACCCCAGGAAGTATGGGTGGTTTCCCTCAGTTTCCTTCAACACCCATTTGACAGCAGGTCCGCCACTAAGGGGAAACCCATTTAGGCTCTCATATTTGGTTTCCTTCAAGCCCATTTCGGCTCTCATCAAATCCAAGTGGGTATTCGCAGAAAAAAGTTCGACTCCACTTAACATCCACTGATAATCCAATCTATGTACCACCAGAAACCCCTTCAAACCCAAAAATACGGTGAATCCATTTTTTGTTGCCACTGACCCCTTTTTTTCCGAACCCCCTCAATTGGTGGTTTGGATTGGCACCAAATGGTCCCAAATCACCCTGAGAGGTGAAGTTTTCGGGCTTGGGGATCAAAAACTGAGGACCCCCACATCACATCATCGGTTTCCTGCTGGATGGAACCCAAGCCCAAGAAGCCCGGCCGACTGGGCCAGGCCCGGAAGTTCCCACTTCCGCCAGCCTGGTTCAGCGGGATGCCGCCAGGCAACTTGAGGGGAATGAACATGGGCCCTTTATATATATACATATTTACATATTGTAATTACTTTTCATTATTTGATTTGAATTGAAGTTTCACTTTTGGTTTTCCTATAGTCTCAGCTCAAAGGTCTAGTTTCTCGGGGGAACTCTGTTTTGAGACGCTTCGCGCGCTCGGATTAGCCAACCCTCCATCACGAAACGCGCAGACGCGGCATTCAAGACATGGGCCACGACCCAACTTGGTCGCTTGCCCTGGTAGAGAGTTTTGGGTTGAACCAACTTGTTGGTGAACCCTTGCTTCCCTGCATCCCTTCGTTTTTCCAGAGGTCATAGTTTGAGTTGAGACCATTTTTGACCGCAATTCCATGGAAGCTTGCATGCCACGGAAATAAGTCTTACGGAAGCTTCCATGAGGGAGATTTCGATGTTCCTGACTTTTGCGCGCAGGACTGTGCAATCTGGGATTCTTCAAGGTATCGTCAGATGAGGTCCATAGACTTCCCCCCCCCCCAAATGCAAGCGTCAATTTGGGTATGGCAGAAACCCGAACCGAATCAGCGGGCCTCAAGCAAATCTGATGAATACAATCAACCACAGACAATACGTGCATTCCAGGGAGGATCGCCTTGAGCGGATTGAATAACCCTCAAAACAGGTCGGCAAGTACAACAGCTTTCATGGTGTGGGATAGTTGACGGAGGTTACTAGCCACTTGGCCATGAAGTTGCACGGGGAACACCGTCAAACATGGCTCAAAATAGGGGGACCCCTTTTTTGGGATGGTTGTAAAGGGAAAGCAAGAGGTTCACCACCTACCTGGAGGAGAAACATCCACAGCTTGAGATCATCCCCTGCCGCAGGACGAAGCTACTGGAGCCAGAGCCTTGAGTCGGACTTGGTCCATCGGGGGTTTTCTTTGATAGAAACCCTACCGCCGCAGAGATCTGTGTGGGGGTTTTGGTTAGCGGGGTATCCATGAATTTTGGCGACTTATGGGGATCCGACATTTGAGCCGCCTCGAGGCGAGGCGACCGAGCCGGGACATGGGGAAAATTGCGGCCCGTGAATAACTTTGCTACTCTTCTCTTTCCTTTTTCCGCTTTGCCCTTCCTTTCTTTCTTCCTCTTTTGCTCGTGTCTCCTGTGTCCTGCTGGGTTGGGGGGTCCAGGTGTGACCCCAGTTCCCTGGTTATTTTTACCTCTTTTGCTGTTCTGCGCTGGCTGGTGCCCCTGTACTCTTTGTTGTGTCGCGGCTGGTGTGAGCTGGCAAGGGACTCCTGCTGGTGCGATTCCGCAGGCTTCTGGCGGTTTGTAGCATTGCTGTCTTGGCCGCGGCCTGTGCGCGAGCTGGACCGCTCCCTCTGGCACGGGCGTATTGTGGAAGCGGTCGGCTACCTTCCGCTTTGTGTCACTGCAGACCGGCGCTGGGGCCAGTAGCAGTTGAGGGCTGTGGAAGACCGGGCTGTTGGTGAAGTCCTCGCTCACATAAAACCTACTTGGGCCTTGGGGCCAGGTGTGGCGAGATGCCGACGGCCGTTGTCTTGCTGCTTGTCCAGCCGCCATGACGGGTGCCTGCCGTAGGTGCCGCCTCGCTGCACAAGCAGATGAATTTGAGGAGAAAGGCTCGCTTCCTTGGTTTGCCTTTTGTTGTTTGGTTCTTCCTCGCGCATGGAATATGTAAGCAAAGTGCATGGACAATATATGGAATGCATGGATGGAAAAGGAGCGGCCAGTGCATAGCTTGAAGCAAAGGAAAATGGACTCAGCAGCTCGGCTGCATGGGCGCCCAGCGGTTGGCGGTGAGGCCTGCGATGTGTGGATGCTCGGACCGCAGGGAAGCTTGCTTCTCTGGTCAGCCCTGAACTCCGCTCAACTCAATTCAACCCCCTTGGAATGGCTCTAAATGGCAGTGGGTCAAAACTAATGGTAGCATTCCGGGGTAGGTGTACCACCCATTTTAGTCTATTTCAGTGGGGATTGGGATGTTCACTGGGGGTACGGGATTTTGACCCATGGCCAAATCAGTATTGGATCCTTTGAGGCCGCTCATTGTCCGCCGAGCCGAGGCTGCTGCCAGGGCATGGCTTCCCTTCCTCCCCAGCCTTGCTGGCCGGCTTGCGACTTTGTTCCTCACAACCGCGGAAGTGCGCATACCTTTTTTGGGAAGACTATTCGTGCTCTGCGCATAAAGTGAACGCAGGCTGAGGTCGTGAGATGTTCAGTTCACCTGAATTGCTTGATGACTCTGGACATCTCTAAACTGCTTGCGCCTTCTGCGCTCCGGACGGGCCAGCCAAGGGGAAGCCCTTCAAGCACGGATGAGCCACGCGCATGAACAAGTCAATCTTGTGACAGGGGTCCTTGTTTCCTTTTGTGTTGAAACGTCACCGCCCGGGCCATAGGTGATGTTCGGAAGGCACACATAAGTAGCCAAACGCCCACCCCTCTACTTGGGTCTGGTATGGATGGCTGTGCGCCTTTGAGGCGGACTGTGCACCAACACTGCAAGGGCGTAAAGAAACACCGACCACGGCCCACGCGCAGAAGTTTAACCATCGCACAGAAGGAAGCCCGGTGTGCTTTTGAATGAATCCCGTAGGCAAGGGTATGGAGCAACGGTGAGTTACTCGGACGGTTCCAATCCCCCCAGGTCGCAACCTCAAAGGAGCGGCGAATGAACCCCGCCGGTCGCCGGGGACGTTCGAGCCAGGAGGAGGATGGGGTTCTCCATCACCTTTGGCGGGGATCGCAGGCGCCAGAGAGCCGAAGAGAGTTGCAATTGGCTTGCAGCCCCAACTAGCCCCAACTACCACCAAGGGAAGGTGCATGTATGTATAAATATATATCTAGATATTATTATCATGATTATATATATATACATAGATATGTATATATATATACATATCTATATATATATATATATATATCTGTTTTATTGACTACGATCCCACACCATATGTGTTCTCCTTCAGGGAGCTGTATAACCCCTATTCTCCCTGGCGGTGGTTTGTGGTGGCGGCCAAGCCCTGCGAAACCGTTCGTTTGCAGCAGAGCGACCTTCGTTTTTTTCAAGCACCCAACCATTCTGGCCATTTTTCGGCCCTCAAGGTTGTCACCCTCTTTCGAGGGGACCCCCAACACAAGGGGAGTCCACCCAAAAGGAAGTCGCGATGCGCCCCGAGCCTTCGTCGCTTTTCGCCCCTCAACGTGGGGCGGCCCCCGTCGCTTTGCCAGGCGCTGTACTCACAGGCCGCCTCGATGCTGGAGACCTTCCGCGCCTCGATGCGGCAAGTTGGGTATGAGCCAGACGTGGGTCTCGGGCCGTCTCGGGTCTCCGTGGGAAAAAAAACAACACCCACCCCCATTTCGGGCTCGCGAGTTTGTTTTCTTCTTCTTTTTCTTCTTTTTTTTAAAAGTCAGGGACTCACGGATGATACTGCGATTTTTTCGGAACCCAAAGGGGGAGAAGCGGCAATTCCAAGCCTCAACAAGGGTCGGCTTTTGGGGTTCCATGTGTATCTGATTAGATTCAATCGAGCTGGGGGACCTTCTATCCCCTTCTTTTTCATGTCGCCACATGTTCGGATCCCGACATGCGGGTGTCCAGCGAAGTTCTTGGGGGCGAACCGCTCTTGTGAGCGACATGTCCGGTTTTCAGGAGAACTCCACTGCGAGGATGAACGCATTTGCGAGTGGAACATACGTGGATGTGGACACATGGTGGCTTTTGGAGTTGCGTGTTCGGCAGTCCGTCCAGCAGGATCGAAGCCTATGCTGTTCCTTGGAGCACGTTTGTTGTTCTTTCTCCTTTTGTTTGGCGATCAGCGTTGGTACTTCTGTTTGCTACTTGCTTTTTGATGAGCCAGGCATTGGTGAAGAAGTACGATTCGCACAGGACACGTGACAATTTGCGAGTCCCCCTGTTGTTCAAGACAGTCCGCGAATTATTATAGTTCAGCCTGTCTAATCTCGCCTTGCCTGATCGGAAGTTTGGCTTTGTGGTTTGGAGGTTAGCTTCCCAGTTGGTTTCAAGGGATTGGGGTCAAATCCTCATCCGCTAATCCAAGCCAGCAGACGGTGGCAAGGTGAACATCCGTATTGCTATCCGCAGTTCTCTTTTTTTCCAACACACACAAATCCGAGTTGTCGGGTTTGCTTGAACCTCCCCCCTCCCGCACCCCCCCCGCCCCTGGCTAAAACCTTGAAAGTGTTGTGTGGAAAATGGCCGCGTTTTCGCATGATTTCCCCCTCAACTCACAACAAGTTGCCTTCAGAGGAAGCACCCAAATCTACCCTTTTGTGCCAGATTTGGATTCCCATCCCAACGACTAGATGGCCACTCACAGCACGGGGCTTCTACTTAGAACTAGATTTGTCACAACCACATGGTCGCGGATCACGCTTCAAAGTGATCGAGTAGGCATGGAAATGACCCATGTTGGTTTTACAGAAAGAGGGATCTGCAACAGGCATGCGCAACTATGAGGGGACACCCAAGAAGGCGTGAAGAAGGCTCCATATCGAATTGAATCCCCGTCGAGTGCAGCCGTTTTCTGGTTTTCGAGCACCCTTAGATTGGAACATGATGTGGGCCAGGACTCTCCTTGGCAAGCTTTTGTGTCATTTGGTTTCATGGTACCCCCCCCCCCCCCCAATTGGTCCCGCTGCAGGCCAGAAGCCCCAGTCTCACTCCAGCTGGCTGATGCTGGGGATCTCCGCGCGCGCCCTGGGCACCCTTATTCCAACCTCTCTACTCAAGGACCTAGACATGGTCTTCACCATCAAGCAGGAGATGGACCTTGTGATGGTATGGCCAGAAAGGACCCTGAACATGCAAACCAGCAACAAGCTGTAGCCAGCTGTAGGGTTTCCCGTATTCCACTTGGGGCTGTTTTGCTTTTGAGGCAGCCAGGGTTTGGGTTGTGTGAAATGGAGGCCAAAGGGCAGACCCCCATTTTGGGGATTCCCCGCCATGTGAAAACAAGGCCATGCAGGGAATCAAGAGTTGCAACATGTGAAACTTGGGGAACCCCCCCCCTACATAAACAGTTTTCTCCGGGGGTTGAGACGGACGACTAAGGCGGTATTCACCATCGTGTTTCTGATCGGCGGGTTCATGCTGCTGGCACGCGCAAGGGGGCCCAGGGCTTTCCTCAAGAATTGCTTTGGCTTGGGCTGCCCATTTCATGGCTCAAGGGTTGCTGGTTGCTGCAGTTCCCAAAAAGATGATCAAAGTCGTGGAAGCTTGCCGGGTTTGGTCTCCTAGCGTTGCCAAGCTTAACGCACGTGTCGATGCCGCGTGGGACGGTCCAAAGCCTTCCAAATGGGGGGCTGATTCGCGACCCCTTGGTTTGTCTTCACTTTCTGGGTGGGAAAGAACCTCAGCATCCACGAGGAAAACCAACTTTTCTTTAGGGTATGATGTCAACGCTTGACAAAAACGGGAGGTATTTGCCAGAAGCCGCAAACACAACTAAATCCTTCAACATGTACTAACCGACAAAAAGGCTGGTAGGGGGATTGCGACCAATCGGCGCCGAGGTGCAGAAGAGCTGGCACGCCTCCCATTCCAGATTGGAGGCGCGCGGCTGTGTCTTGGGTCGCCTCAGTTTGAGGCATTGCAGATACCGGAAACCCCGGAATAATAAGGGAGTGTCTTTTTGTAGGGGACCCCCGTTGGTTTTCCTTTTGGTTTCTCTTTGAAACCACAAAAAAGGGGGTACTATCAAAAAAGACACACCTGGTTGATTCATAGGGGGAGCGTTCCCAATTATCTCAAATTACTTCCGATGGTTTCCCTTCAAAGCACCATTTTGTGGATGTCACCTTCGTGGACACAGAATGAGCCACTCAAAAGGATTGCACCCCCGCTTTCAATCCACCAAGCGGGTTGGCAAAGGCTCGTTGATTCCTTGTCGGGGCAAGTTCCAACTTGCTTGGGAGGTTGTTCATCCAGGTTTCCCATTTTTTTTGGAAGGCCAAAAAGATGCCGAATCCCATTTTGGGGTTCCGGAATCGTGAAGTTCGTCAAAACTTCCAGTTGAGCAGCTCTAAAACCCCCCGTTACATCCCAAGCAAGAGTTGTGTCATAACAAGGCTCCGCGTAAGCAAAACCCTGCACGGCGTAAGCCGGCGCAAGCACTTTTTGGGGAAACATGTTGCGTAAGCACCTGTGTATGCTTATGTTTTTTTTGGTGGCTTGTGCTGTTGCAACCTAGCCGAGCTTGGCAACTTGCCCAGAGACTTTGGCTGCAGGAAGACGTCTAAGACCGCATGTGCGCACCACTAGACAAAGAACCAACAACAGCAGAACTTTGATTGGGAGTTCTTGCGGCTCATGCTAGGTGCTGTTGCAACCTTTACTAGGACAAACAAAGGCTTCAGTAGCCGCTGATGTAGGAAAGCTAAAGGGGCTCGGGCGCGTAAGCTCGCGTAAGCAGGCGCGTAAGGTTCGCGTAAGCTCGCCTAGCTCGGCTGCCCGCTAGCCCTCGTGATGGATGCCGCTGCCGCATAACCTGTTTCTTGACTTGCAGTACGAGCAACAACGCCAAGCCGCTGAAACTCGCGGGGGTAGTTCTTCGTCATCTTCTTCCTTAGAGTCATCCACATCATCTTGAACAGTTCTGGCGGCTGTATGAGAAAAGGAGCCCGCGTAAGCAATTCTTGAGGGGAAACGCTCAAAACGCCGACGCGTAAGCGATGCGTAAGCTTTACGTGCTCGCGGACTGCCGCGTAAGCTGAAACATGGGTCGCGGAAGGAAAGCGCAAGCTCGCGCCTGAGCAACTTGATGCGACATAGGGGTTCATGGCAGGTTCATAGAGATCGTCAATTTGGGGTTCGGGATAGATTGGACGGGGGGTCTATGCCCAGAACGGGTGACTTACTAGAATCCCAAAAGACGGACACGACTTCCTTTTGTTTTTTGCACTATAAACTCCATCCAAAAATCAGATCCCATGCAGGGTGGCGTTTACCTTGTGCGTTTGTGTCTTCCCTTTAGGGGGGGGGTTCAGCAGACGTAACAGACTTTGTTTCCCTGCCGGGTGGCCGTGGGGTACCCTTTTTTGCGTAGTTCCAAAGCGAAGTGAATTGACCCATCCGACGGTGTCCGCATCCACCAGGGGGTCCTTTGCATTTCCTATGCCTTGGTGGGTAAAAGGACAAGCATATGGCTTCCCTCTGTTTTTGAGGGACCCCCCCAACCAAACAGGCGTCCCTTTGGTTTCCCTCGAAAGAATCACCCCAAGGGATCAAAACGAGACGAGCCACGCATGTAGAACCGGCGCCATGACTTGGATCGCTCAGGCCGGCGCGAACCTTAGCAGCCCGGCGCCCACTGGGCGCTTCCTGGGGGTCGGGGCCTAAAGCCGAAGGTGCCGCGAGCGGCCGGGCCTTCATTCCTTGGTGAGGGGGGGGGGGAGTCCTGGTTGCTTGGTTGCTTGGTTGCTTGGTTGGCTTCCTTCAGAGTCTTGTCAAACCTCGAGGTCACCGGGCAAATGATTCTGCAATTTGGGGATTGCACACGCGTGGCGTTTTGGACCAAGCCCACTGTGAAATATGGGATAAGCCATCTATGAACTGGTGAAGTGGCTTTTGTCCATCGGCATGACTCCAAGGAGAGGGGCTTTCGGTGGGATGTTTGCTCCTCAACTAGCTCTCCCTCATAAGCCAACCTTTATTGCTGGTTTGGATGGGTTTGGACTTGGATTGGACCCCCCTGAGGCTAAATGGGGTTGCCCACTTCTAAACTCCAAGCCACCAATCCAGACAGAGGAGCCCACCATCGGATGTTTCCAACGGACACTGACCCTGTACTTCCTGGTTGACCAGGTGCCCCGAGCGCCTCGACCCGCTGCGAGCCCCCCAGGCACGGGTTCGGTGCCGCCTTTCTTTTCTTTTTTTTCGGCAAGTTGGTCAGATCCTCAAGGGATGAGCCCAAAATGGGTTTGACACCAAGCCCCAAAGGGTATCTCGTTTGGCTGACATGTCCAAATTCCCGCGTAAGCCGCCTCTTGCGGCTTAGACCCAACGCCGGTGGTGCACTTTGCATGTCACCAAACATTTGCAGACCCCAAATGGTTCATTGCATGTGATCGGTGACATCTTTGCTCCATTGCCAAGGACATTTCCACAATGATTTCTGGATTTAGTGTTCAATTGAACACTACTGCTGGAAGGTTGGCAGCATTTTGAACAAATGGATTTGGGCCGGAGGTTTCGATATTCCCACTGTGAGAGAAACAGCAACTCAGAGAAACAACCCTAATCATGCGAGCAGTATCCTCCACTCTCCGTATGGGAGACACGTCTTCGAGCGATCTTATCACAAGGTATGTGCACGAAAGCATGAACAACGATATACTTACCGAACCCAAAGTGTACTTCCCTGCAAAAACTGATACTTTACGCTTGCCCATTCCGAGCCAACAGGTTTTTGGGGACATGGAGAACGATGGAAACACCCCCAAAGACCACGATATCAGGTTTGTTGCTCATGGCAAAGTTGCATCCTTCCGGGGAATGCGGTCAAGCTCTTGTCAGGACCAACCAAGGCTGGCTGCCCTCCCACCATCCCATGGTAAAGAAACAATCAAGGGCCCATTTGTGATGTTCACCCCAAAAGACGCTTGATTAATCGAGCCGATGTTTCAACCCCAAAAGGAGGAGGATTCCGAATGCAATATGCCATGCCTCAGATTTCGGACGTCGTGGTTTTCCGATTCGCCCTCGTGGCATCGGACGAATCGGTGCGAGTCGTCATCGCTCCAGGCACCCAGCCGGATTCGCAATCTTCGCTGCGGGGGGCCGGGAGCTTAGCTGAGACGTGCACTTGCGAGAGGAAAGGCACCCATTTTGGGTTCAGGGTTCCACTTTGACTACAAGGTAGAGGCAGATTCCAAAAAGGTCCCCCAAAACGGGGACATGTACCACCCCCTTGGTTTTTTTGTTTAACCTTGGGGTCAAGAAGTGGAACTCTGCTCGATTCCACTTGCGAACAGACAGGTGTTTGAAGGGACTCCACGGTCCTCTGTTTGCGAATTTCGGATTGATCAATAGGAGGACCTTATTCATTCAGAGGATTCAACTTCGCAGTGTTTGTCATCAATTCACTATGATCCTTTTGATCAATCCGAACGTTACAGGAAAAGCAAAAGGCAACTCTACCCCAAAAGTTCACCTATCTGGAGGCAGCTTTCGGGGAATGGTGGTCCGTATACTTCTCTGCGATCAAAAAGGGGCCCTTCAACGAGTTTCCTTTTGGGGTGATGTTTGACTGGGCCACATCTAAGGGATGCGGGAGCTCAAAACCCTAAGGTGCCAGCCCCGCGAGAGGCGCCGGCGGCACGCGAACAGCGTCGCCGGCTGCTTTGTGCCGCTCGAAGACTGTCATGGCCTTTGCGCCCTCACGAGCGTTGTTCACAAAGGCGATGTGTGTCTTTTTCGGGGGACTTTTGTGATTGTTTTGGAAAAAAGGAAAGATGAAGGGCCCCTTGTGGAATTCGACCCTTTGCTTTTGAACCACCGCCACATAGCTAGGAGAGTTACTGGTTGGAACACACAAATGGTTGATGTACCAAGTTCTCAAGGGTGTCAATGCCAAGATGTGCCATTCAAACTCGTGCCCTTCAAACTCGTGCCCCATTGCCCGGGAGCGTTTTTCCGCTGGACATTTGCATTGGATGTTGTTTTTTTTCTCGACTGAGCGAAGAGCCGTGATTATGCACTCATGGCAGCGAGCAAACAGCAAATCAGGTGCGTTAACGAGTTATTTCGCTCGTAGTCATGGTGAGGGGATTTCTTTCCCGTACTCCAGGCTGACTCATAGCAACAAGAAGAGATACAAACCTGGTGTTCCTATGACCCTGAGGTAACTTCTCTCAATCGCACCGCACAACCTTACTTGAACCATTTGGTCGCTTACAGTATGTGCAGATCCCACACGGGGATCCCATGGTTGCCGTTTCCAGATCCATCCGTTTCGCTTCTTTCGACGATTTGGGGGTCATTGAGCGCCAGGTTGCCAACGCTCTGTGAAGACTTGGTGGTCCCTGATGGCACTGAGTCAGGGGCCCGGTTGAGTAAACCATCGGCCTGAAATCAAGAAGAAAGGGGACCCGCGAGAAGAGACCACACCCTTTATAAGGAGCACGTATGGCATACAACTGGTATGTGCATAAATAGCTATGTATCTCTCTCTTATGTTATGCTATAGCATCATCAGCTTGCGTTTGTTGCACTTCAACTTGTAGATGCTGCCCCATGCAATCCATTTACTCAGAAAAAAACCATCCTCTAGTTTTTCCATGCCTATTCGGCAAGTGGCTATACACGTATCCTGGCTGTGACTCACTTTGCTCGCACTATCTGGAACGAGCAGCAGGCTCAGTCGTGGCTTGCTGAGCTTGACCACAGAGATTGAAGTGTTGCAAGCTGAGCTGCACAGGACTCAGCGAATCATCAGCGGATGCAGGACCCTTCTTGACCGGTGCGAGCGTAGCCGCAGATATCAGGCATTGGACATTTGTGCGCTTACAATCACTCGGGAGAGTCGTGCTTGCGCAGCGGTGTTCTGTGGAAGCACACATAGTAGAGGTGCTTCAGAACGGCAATACCATGTGGTGCGATTTTCTGAGCCGGAGCTGCCGAAGTGCACTGGAGCAGCCAACGTGTACCCTCTTTCCAACAATCATGGAAGTGCACAAAGGGGCTCCCCAAAAGGAAAATAGTCTTCCAAAGCTCTCCTGTCAACTTCCATGATTGTTGGAGAAAGGGTACTTTGTGCATTGCACTTGAGCTGAAAGGTTGCATTTTGTTCAGCTGTAGCTACCAGGCCAGCGCGCTTGTACTGAAAAGTTGTGACTTTCCAGCTGGAGTTGTTAAAGTGTTCGTATTGCCTTGCCAAAAGGAGGTTGAAGCAGGTAGCCCCCAACGGGCAAGTTGGATATACCAGGAAGGAGATGAGATTCAGTTACATGAGAAGTAGGACATTGATCAGGTGCCACTTCGGACACAATGAACATTGGCCTTGAATCTTTCTGTCTCACCTGGAAAAGCTAAGATCGCTGCCAGTGTCCCCGCGCTGTATGTTTCCAGAGGCCCTGCTTGATCCAGAGAGGGTTTCAGACCAGTCAGAAGCCCTACAAACATCATTGTCACTGTCGGGGTTGTTTGGTTGAAAGGGAAGCCAAAAGACCGCCACGCTTGGACACACACACACACACACACGGACTGAAGCCCAGCGGCTCCTTTGAAACTCATGAACCACTTGCTTGATCTCCCCACCGTCCCTTTGGGAAAAAGACCAAAGCTGGAGGTGCGTTTGGGGATAGGAACGATCGAGGTGTGTGCTGGTGGTGCCGCCGATCAGCGACTCTGAGGCCCGAGCCGTTCCTGAAACACCAAACCTAGGTCCATGAAATCTTGCGGCAAGCATCCTTCGCACCCTTTGTTTCTGGGCGCTTTAGTTTAATCAAGTTTCATCCAGCCAGCCTTGTTTCCTTGTGCGGATTTTGGAGTACTGATGAATCAGAACCCAGGAGCCCAGGATTCACAAGGATTTTTTCGAGAGTCTCTGGGAATTTGGGGAAGTCTCCGCATTTTCCGCAAGCCGCCAGATCGCCATCAACGACCACCGGGGCGCTTGCGTGTTCATCGCCAGCAAGGGCTCTGGAGAGGCGCGTGGCCGGAGGATCGCCACAGTGGGGTCTCCTCCAACACTTCTTCTCTCTCTCTCTCTCTCTGTTTTTACATGTAGGGTAGACAAAATACTGAACTGAGTCAAGTGATTTTCGGGGAGTCAAATCCACTCAGTTGGGATTGGTGGCTTATAGGGGCCTACTCATTTTATTTGGTGCAGGATTTTGTCCTACAGTAGGTGCGGAGATCCCGAGAAAATTCCAAGTTTTTGGTAGGCCCTTTAGGGTACCGGGTTTTGATTGCGTCTCAGGCGGCCGTTTCAGGTCACATGGGTCACACTGGTTTGAACATAGATCCACTGGCTTCATCAATGAAATCCATCCGTTTTGCCAAAAGGAGAGTTAGGGCCCGTTGCGGATATGCAAATTTTCCAGCTAGTGTTGGGTTGACTCCAATGTTTAAAAATGTCAACACCACCATTCAAATAACCTCCTCTTGTTTGACCTTCAAAGGGGGGCCAGGGTCTCGTTGTTTAAGCATAGTGTAATTACCCCACCCTGGTTTCAACCGTGTTTGCAAGACGCTTTCTACCCTCAGCTGCAGCAAGAGGCACGTGAATAGTGTGGCTTCTAGTTGGGGGAAGTGGGAAAGAGAGTGTTCTCCTGAAGAGCCTGATTCAACATTGCACTCATTTGGGTTTGTCTCAGGATGGCGGAGCCAATAAATAAATGTTCTCCATTCCGAATCATGCCCGAGTGAGCACCCGCAATTTGTCGCGTACCTTGATGGTGGATTTTGTTAAACGGTCCATGAAGGCTCTTCACGTGCGAATTGCAGTACTTTGCCAAGTTTTTTGGGAAGCACCCATTTGGGCGTCTTTTTTAAAGGTTGGACCCCCAACATGGCTTCGGTTTTCCTTTGTTTTTTTCCTTGAACAGCAACCAAAAAGCGGTGCGTGGAGGATTGTCCTTTTTCTTGACCTTAATCCAGTGGAAGACCAGGGAAAATCGCTGCTCCCTGTTTTTGGGTGAGCGATTCATTACCAATCCCTGTGGTCCGAGGTTTCCCAAAGGGTGCAACATGAGTCTTCGTGGTTCCCGGCCACGCCCTCAGGGTGTTTAAGTTTTTAGGGTTTAGCGGTAGTTTCCACTGAACCGCGAAAAGTTGCAGAGAGGATTAGGGAACGCCCCAGATGAGTCAAGAGCCCCCGCAACTCTCGAACGGATCCGATCCCCTTCCACGCCAGGCGGGCGTGCGGCTCTCATTGATGAGCCAGGAGCCAAGAGTCGCCGGGGTGAGATTTTCCAAGGAAAACGCGATTCCAGCCGTGTTTTTTTTCCCCGGGGTACCACGAGGCGTAGGTCCTGTACTTGGGGATCCAGTCCTTCTTTCAGGTGGAATGATTGTAGAATGTCCAGATCTGTGCTCTTGGCCTTTTAAGGTAATCTCCAGCCCCTGATGCCTGGAGGGGGTATAAGGATCCCGTGCTGCGCATTTCTCCATATTGAAGGCGGATTTTTGAATTTTGTGTGCATAAAGTTACTACATGTAGCAGTATGATTCTGCGTTGGGGGAAAACAAGATGAAGCAGTTGTAATGGTTCCCCTCTTTGATGGTTTTCGATATGATTTTTTCGGTCCAATATCAAGGAGTTTTCTTCTTTTGGAGGGGCGATGTTTGAGGGGGAAGTATGGGAACCCTGTACGTGTGCCTTTCAAATACCCAAAGCGCTGCGCGTGTTGTCGGGGTACAACTAATTCAGAAGCTATGAGTTAGTGTGCTCTAGGGAGCCAACAAGGTACAGGTTCTGCACCCTTAATTCTTCATTTTTGTGCCAGAGTGGACACCTCGTTGAATTGGTGTCCCAGATTAGAGATCCCCGCCATGTCGAACAGCCCAGATACGGGCTTTTCCAAACTCCTGGGGCACAACCCGGCCGCCCTCCTAGCACAAGTCAACCCTTGGGAATTCAGGCCATCAGGGTTCGTCACGAAGCAGGCATCCCTTTCCGCCGAATGTACGACGAGCTCACCCAACGCGCTCACCAGGAGGAAGGTCCTTTTGGGATCCCTTGATGCAGTCTTTCTCTTCTTGTAGAATTTGCAGATGACGGTGCTCTACTGGGAATGCTGCGATTATTTTTTTGTTTTAACAATATAACTTGCAGATCTCTGTATTTCCACATGTTAGTTTTCGATGTCACCTTCCCAAAGGCCACGTTCCAGGGTGTTTCCTCTAGCTGGTTTGTTTTCCTTGCGCTTTCCGTGGAGATCACCTGGCAGATCTTTGTTTTAGTAAGAAAGGTGTTGGTTGGAGCAAATCCTCGGGGGAGGTGTTTCTCTAAGGGTCACCTCTTTTTGGATTGTTTTAAGGGGAACAGGACACCAACCACCTGAAGGAATCGGTCCCCACGTTTGAGACACATCCGTAAGTTTGTTGGAGAAACGCCCGCATGGGAAGGTCCGAACCTGCGTTGGAGAGGGGTTTTGGAGGGAAGCCCATTTCATGTGTTGAGGATACAATCTTGGTCACATGCCCATAGGTGTCCTTCTCAGATGAGTTTGATTAGAAATAAACGGCACTGGTTTAGCCGGGTCTTATTCTCCATTTACCAGGGCCATCTATTGTTTTCCAAGGACACCTATACACATGCCCAATTGTGCTTGGCACAGTTTCTTCAAACAATCATGTCCTAGGATGCCGGGATGAGAACAGCTGGTAGTCACTGAACCCCTTTGTCGGTCTTTAAAGGGAAACCAAAGGAAGCCAACCACTTCTGGGCATACTTTGCCAAACCACCGGTATCCTGATGAAATCAGTTGCGGGGCCCATTCTCACAGGGTTCCAGATATGTTCCCTTTTGACTGGTTTTCAACATCACCTTGTGGGCCAATTCAACATGAGTTTCGGTCATGTTCAAAGGATATAAGGAGCCCTGTTTCACCAGAACCCTTGACAAACATAGGACCCTTCTGGCGGGTTTCCGCTAGGCCCTTCCTCGTCAAAATCCAAAGTTGCCATGGACAAACCCAATTGTTCAGGGGATTGCCCCGTTCCTTTTCTGTTTGATGGGTTCACCAATCGTGGAACATCACCCTCAACAATTCAATGTGTTTGTTCTTTTTACCCCAACGGGCCACCGGCGGCAACTTCAGCAACCATAGACCATAGAAGTCCGAGATTCGAATCTCTCAAAAGACCATGCAGACTCCAAGCACTACAGGTGGGTTCCGATTCATCCCTTTGACGGTGTTCCTCTTTGCATGACTCCGTTTTGCCACCGGTGACACGAATCAGCATGAGAGGCGTGGCATTTTTCCCAACAGGCTGAATGCAACTGCCGGGATGCTTCAATCAATGAACCCATTCTGGTTAGACAAGATAGATTTCTTGGGTCTTTCTTCATGTTGACCCCTGATTAACAAACTCCCACACGTCCCTCAGTGGGGAGCCTTGCTTCCAAGACAACTCCCCTGATCAATAAGGGCGGGTTGCTAGTCAGGGGTCAACATTACGTTCTTTTCTGCAACCAAAGTTGTACCCGATATGTTTTGTTTGGGGGGTGCCTTTCTTGGGTGGCATTTTGAAGCGGCATTTTGGGTATCCCCCCCAAAAGAGAACAATGGGACTGCTATTGATTTCTTTTTGGAGTTCTCATCCTGGCAATGGCTCGATCGCGTGTTCAAAACACTGATTTTTGGGGGGTCCCCATAAATGTACATTGTTGGTTTCTTTTTCTTTCGGGGTCAGCACTTGTTGGGGATCTATTGAAGCCTGAGGCCCGGACCACGAGCTCTTCGCCACCCTCCGCAAGCCACGGCGCCGGGGAAAAGGGGGGGGGAATGCGCATGTCGTCCAACTAGGGAGATTCACCAAATGGCTGTGGGTCAAAATGAGGTACCCAAAATGGAATCCTGTAAATAGAAACATGGATTAAACTGTGGTCCCCTAGTTTAATTTTGACCCACACCCAAATAGAGGCGTTTTCTTAGCTTTTCGGAAAGCTTTAACATGCTTTAACACAACCTGAAAAAAGGGTACCCTGAAAGAGCACCGCATCGGAATCAAGCCTCTTCAGCATCTTTGCCTTTAAAGTGGCATCATCATGAGAGTCCACCGAAATCGGCATTTCACAAGCCGACAGCCCAGGAGTCATTTGTTCATCTTTTGGTGGAGCTTCCATGGTCGCCCAAGATTGAGGCGGTTGAAAGGAGCGCCCACAGTCCAACATGTCCCAACCGGCGGTTTTTGTCTTCAGCAGCTTCCGTTGGTTTCATCTCTCCGACGGGACCCCGGAAAGGCACCAAAAGGCCACTCGGAACCGGTGAGATGGGTGGTGCCACCATGGGGGTATCCATCCCGAAGGTCCCACAAAACCCCGGAAAGGGCCACTTGAGTGGCGCCCGGCTTCAGGAGGTTACAGTGAAGCCTTTCAATTACCTTCTTAAATTTACAACGGTGTTGGTAGAGCACAAACATGGAACCTGAGGTTCGTTTTTGGGAGGGTCTCCAAATGGTGGACCCCCAAGACACTCCCAAACATGCTCTCGAGTTGCCAGCAAAACGAAAGGATATTGCCTGTGCAAAAACTGGCATGGCCTGCAAAGGCGGGGGAGGGCGTGGGAGCCAATTGTGATATCTTTTTTTATGCAGGCCAGGACATTCAGAATTGTCGCGTCATGATTCTGTGCGGCAGAAGCATGATGTCTGCGAAGCGATTTGCTGGTGCTTCAAAAGGGAACTTTTTAGGAAAGTCCTTCCCTCTATATGCCCGTATATGTGTAGTCTGTTCCCTTTTTGTCTGGGGTCGGGCCTCTTTTGATATGTTTTTTTTGCTCCAGTTGTTTTGCCTTTCTGCATTTCGATGTTGGCCAAACATGGCCCAGAATCTTGAACAACGAAGGGCGGCAGCTGATGCAGAAGCCATGTTTGGGGAAGGGGTCTGATCCCATCGCTCTCCCGGCCGCGCGGCAAACGACCAAAGTGCGCGCGCAGGATCGCGCAAGGGATGGCCGCGGCTGGCTCAGCGCTGGCGACCGCCGTGCAGTTTTGGGATTCCAGGGAGGTAAATTGAGCTTACCATGATCAAGGTCCTGTCTCGGGGCTCCCTATTTCAGGTTTTCTGTCTCGGGGCTCCCTATTTCAGGTTTTGGCATGATTGGTAAAGCAACACATAATTATGGTGCGGCGGAATCCAAAGCACCATCCGCGTTTGGGAACTGCATCTGCGTTGGGGATCGGAAAGTACTCCTTTAGAGTTTCCTTCTGCGACTTGCGTTTACGACGGAACCCGAGTTTTCTCAAGTTCTTTGTCATCGCCGCATGCTTGGACAATGGCTCGCATGAGCTCCAAGCGTTCCAAGCCCAAGGGAAGATCGGAAGGCGCTCAAGGCTTCAAGCCTGGGGAAGCCATCAGCGAACACTTTTGGCAGGGAGCCCCGTCTCTTTTTTCCTTTGCGGAACCCCCCCATACGTGTGGAGACCTCCCTCCTGCCGAAACGGCTTCTGGTTCTTTTGCTCTTTTCAAGGACCGGTTCGTCACATGAGTGGGTCCGAGGCGCTGGCCATCCACGGGCCCGCGGGCAACGAGTTCGGCGCCCGCCCAAGTCTCTTTCGAAGGGGTTGGAGTCCTGTGGGCCTTTGGGTCCTGGTGGTTTTGGAGCTTTTGGAATTCCCTGTTGGTTGGGTTTGAAGGGAAACCGCCAGGAAAACCACAGTTCTGGAAGACCACATATTTTTTTGGGTCCTGTAAAAATGAGAAGCCCATTTCAAGCCATGGCTTGGTGGTGAGAGGTGTTTGTGCCTTGGTGACAGGTTGGTGACAAGTGCAAAGCAACTGCCCTCGATACAAGCTCGGGCTCATGTTGGATCTGCGCGAGACGGGCATGGCTCTCCAGAAGCCAAACCTAGCCGCCTAGTGCCCGCCAGTCATTGACCTCTGCACCGCTGAAGCGGAGCAAAAGTCCAAAGTCCGGAACGGGAAGGAAGCTCGGACTTGCCCGAAATATGTCCAAGGGAACAAGGAACCCTCCATACTTTGCCGTAATTCACCAGTTTCTTTGCGATGGAGTGTGGTTTCCTTAGGCCGCACTCTCCAACATGGACCCCAAACAACCATCCGCTAGAGGAATGGCGTGGGAAATGGCGTGGTTCCTGTCAAACTCGCAAGGTATGCTTTCAAGATGCTCGTTCGGAGCCCTCCCTTTCGAGGACAGGTCGACCCGTTAACCGAAGGCCACTTTGGTCCAACTAGCTTGAGACCCCAGATGGCTCCTTCGTGTCTTGGCTGTCAAAGTCCGGAGCTCAGGGCAAACAAGAGTTGGACCATGCAGGTCACTTACCAGGAGGTTCCTTACTTTCCGACTTAGTTGTCGTAATTTACCCAACAGGTAAAAAAACAAAACACGAAAAATACACAGAGCATCAGGAGGCCAGGGTTTGGTGGGAGGGATCTGGTCAAGTGACACCTGAAGATTGCTGAGGCATGCTCAAAAGTCTGAAGAATGGTGCGTACGAGGTGCGGAGGGTGGGAAGTGCAAGTGGTCGGACGCTCACTTGTCTTTTGGATGTATTCTTCACTAAATATTTGTCAGAATCAAATCAAGCACGTGGCTTGTTTGTTGGGCAAAAGCTGGAATAGGTTTGGTGGACATCCTGTACATTGGGGGGTTTATGCCCACCCATTCCTTGGAACCTTGTTCCAATCGCTTATATACATTCAGACAGCCAGTTGACTGCATGCCCGCACTACGGCTGTTTTTTGCTTCCGGCCAGCCGGCCACGGCCGCGGCCAGCCGGCCACTTATCTCCCCCCTGGTCTCCCTGCTTGTGATCGGTGATGCTTGAAGGTGTATGTGGGTATGTATCAAGCCAGGGACACCCCAAAAACGATGACTTCCATTTGGGTCCCTTTTAAACCCACCTGAAAAGGGTTCCCCCAAAAACACTACACCCACGGGTGATTTCCTCAAGCCATGGACCCCAAACTCGCCAACCAAGGCTTTGGCTGGCCCCTATATAGGGGTGGCCCGGGCCCCAAAAAGGAACCCAAGGGCGACTTCAGGACTTTAGTGGGGGCAAAGCTGAACACCGAGCTAGCTTCTGGACCATCTAGGGTCGATTCCCTGCATTATCGCCCGGGAAAACCATGAAACAGCTGTCTTTTGCAAGGCCTCGTGGCAAGTTCTTTGACTCCTTGATTGCCGCCCCAAATGGTATCCGGTTTCCCGATACAACTGCATTTCCTTTGAGAGGGAAGCCAACAGGACACCTGGCCAGGTGGCCGGCTCGGGCCGCTGCATCCGCTTCCAGCTGGGTTCAGGGGATCGCCTCAATGCCGGGAGCCCAAACGCCTGAAGCCTGCGGAGACATTTATGTATTCTAAAGCATTGATTCAATTTATATATTGGTTTAACATTTTGAACATATATAATAAAAAATGGTTGGTTGATGTTTTATATAATAAAGCTAGCCAAACTTAAAGAGCTCATCGGTATCGGGGCTTAAACGAGGCTCATTATGAAGGTCCCTTACTTCGGGCCTCCGTGTTTCGTTTGTGACATCGGTATTCGGCACAGAATGTTGCCCTCAATGTGTAGAGTCATTTTTGAGGTTTGCCGCTTTTTGGTTTCTCGAATACGGGTTCCTTACAAGTCATATTCAAGTCGACTAAACAAAACAGAGCTCCTTCAAGCAGAAGCAAATTTGCTTTTTTTACCGTGATTAGTGGTTCATTCTTTTTTGATGCTCAGGTGGACAGAGTATGATGGGCAGCTGTTTGGCCAGTTGGCGCCGGTTTTTGGGGGTTGGCGCCAGTCTTGGGGTTCTTTTGGGATGCAAAGGGGAAACCAAAGGGACACCGCTGGAAAAGGGGTGACTCCATTTTGAGACACATGAACCATAACGAGCTTTATATTCCCATGTTGCAGGCCTTGGGATACTTCTTTTTTTTCTTCAACCAACGAATTTCATGTAAAATTTCATTTCCACATTTCCCCTTGTGTGGGGAAGCTGGTTGAGAAAAACCTTGTTTGCATGTCAGGTATGTTTGTACAGCCACTTGGTAAAATCCGGGACCCCCCGAAATGTTGCTGTTTTCTCCAAGACCTTCGAAACGCAACTGCAAAAGGGTTCCCTCCAAGAATTGACTCCAGGGAGGGAAAACACAGGGGTCAACCAGGGAATAGAAAGGACACCAGCCCCAAAGACACAGGTCAACACACCGGAGAAAAGCAAACCAACCACCGACGAGAGACACCAACGGGGCGCCCCGTTTCCGGGGCAGGTGGTGGACGAGGACACGCGGCTGATGGCCATGGGCGAGCCCGGCTCATCAGGCCGCGGGAGTCATTCCCCGGGTCCGCGTCGTCGGAGTCGTCCGGCTGGAATTTGAGGCGGTTAAAAGGGGGAGTCCCGTAAAGGAAGCGAAGGGCGATGTTTTCATGGGACATCCATAGGTGGGATGTGTTTTTTTTTCTTCTTTGTTTCCCCTCTTTTTCTTCTTCTTTTTTTCCTCTTTTTTTTCTTCTTTTTTATTTTTTCTCTCTCTCTCTCTAGGTCATATCATGTTTCTCATTCCTTGAGAAGCAGCAAGCAGATGGTTAGAACCACATTTCAACCTTTTGCGCCAGAGTTTGCGGAGCAACACTGAAGAGAAGCAGCAGATGGTGTCCACTTTTTCGTTTGAAGACAACCAAGAAAACCTTCCGCGTTTCCCTATCACTTGGGGTAAGCTTGGGAGAGTGTGAATAGTTTGTGAAAAGAGCGATGACTGGAAAGACTGGTGAAGCAAGCCTTCGAACAAATGGCAGATTCATTACCCCAACCCGTTGAGCTTCGGCAAACAAAAAAGACAAAGCTGCGCAACCCACTGGTTGACTGAGGGCCCCGGTGTCCAATCATCGATATCTGACAAAGACTTTGGGCCGCGTGTTTGCTCGCCAGGTCGCCAGTTCAGGCGGGATGGGCAAAGCGCAGGTTTTTTCCCGGGAGGCGCTTGCGAGGCTTGAAGCGAACGCCTGGGGAAGACTCAAATGGACGAAATCCACATGCGTGTTTCGGGGGGTAGGAGCAGTTTCATGGTAGGGCGAAGATGCTCAACTCGTGGTGTTTTTGTGTTTCCCCTACACATCCTTGGGATGTTTGAGCCAGGCTGTTCCTCCGCTTCTGGTTCATCCTGTCAATCGAGCTGAGGCTTTTGGTTGCTCTATTGTGGGAGGACGTCAAAAGGGGCCCACCCGAGCTCGTCGCAGCTTCCGTGGCTCCTGCGCCTGGTTTTAGTTCGGATTCTTGCAAAACCCACTCAGAACATTTGTGCGGAACTCCGGGAAAGGCCAAACCGCTGGTCTTGATGGTTTGGCCTCCGCATCTTTGTAAAATGTCCTCCGCGTTTCCGGAGTCCGCCGAAATGGATGATCAGGCCCACTGTGATCGCTTCAGGGTTGATTTTGAAAATGGGCACGTCTCCATCGGGGACCGCCAAACTTGATGGTTTCCTGTGTTTATAGAGTCCCTCCTGGGTTCACTTCCACAGGATTGATCACTGCCACCAGTTCGCGATCATGAACACTTTGTCTGAAGATGGGCCCGTTTCAGAAGCGGCCCGGGTTTGCTCTGTGAAGTCCGCCTTTTTGTAAAGGTCTACATTTGTGGGTGAGGATGGGTGGGGAACGGCCGAAGTTGCAGTTGTCTATTTGTTTCTCTCTTTTAAACCAAGGGAAAACAAAAGGACAACCACCATTTTGAGAGTTCCTTGTTTGGCTGTGTCTTTTTGAGGGTACCCCTTGAATCATGGTGACTTGTTCACGCGGGACTTTCATGTTTTCTTTTTTGTTGTCTCGTTTCAGTGGTGGGCCAACCTGAAAGTTCGACCTTTAAACATCCAGCTCTGAGCTTGAGCCATCCCAAGTCGCTTCATCCTGTCCGGGTTTCTCTCTCGGCGTCACACGCCCAGGGTGGGCCCACTGGTGGACGTTGGCCTGGTGGTTTGTGCTGCCCTAGGCGAGTGGAGGGAAAGGGGATGGATTTGAACGGAGAAACTGACCAAACTTGCTGGTCCTTTGAGAGAGATGGAGGATGGGGCCACCCGAATTTGCCAAGCCACGCCCACCAATGTCGTTTTGGGGAAACGAACAATTTGTGCCGGGGGTCGTCAAAAATCAGATGGATCTTTGGTCTCTTTCACTTAGGAACCCTCCGAAGGGGGCTCCCTCTTCAAATGGTTTGTTTTTTGGGGTTCCATGTGAACCTGGAGATTACTTTTGCAGTTTCCAAGCACAAAACTGTTTTCCTGCTAGATTTCCATGAGGACAAAAAGGCCAGAGTGGTGGATCTACGCTGCACGCTCCCTAGAAGCTCCACCGAGAAGCTCACCTAAGGATCATTTGGCTTGAACTACAGGGAGTGGTATGCTCTAAAGGGACCTCCAAAGTGATTTGCTTATTTTTTGGTTTCCCTGGGAAAAACAAGGTTCCAGCGTTGTTACCGACCTCCTGCCTCAAAGCGGCCGTTCCAGAGTTCATCGTCCCAATCTTGTCGCGGAAGCTTGCAGAATCATGCAAATGGAGGGAGGTCGTTGATGACGCTGCTAGCAAAAACCACAACCCCCAAAGCGGAACCCTCGTGCACCACGGACCCCACATAGTGTTCTTGTTTTTGGTTAAAACAAAGAACAAAGATTGGCTTTTAGGGCACGCCACTTTCTGTGAGCCAAACAAGCCCCTTTTGAACAGATCAAATCGTTGGATGGGAATCAACCTCTGAACGGTATCGCAGAAAGCGGGATTTTCCACAATGTATGCGGACCAAGCCCTGTTCGAAGCACGACACATGTGCTTGGTTGCTTCTATTTATGTGTGTGGGACACCTGAAACGAGTGGTTCACTGATGCATTTTCCTGGGTAAAAGAATGGAGCGACGTTTGGAAGCTCTTTTTTTGTCCATCTCGCTCGATGGGGGCTTTCTCACGATGGCGCTTTTTGGGTCGATCGGACAAGCCATCGTTTTGGAAAACAACGAAGGTCCCTATTGGGGTCAGTATCTTGACTGTTTCTGGGGGTTATCAAAGTCAGCAAATGGGGGTGTTTTCATTTAACCCACCACTTAGGGGGTTACTTTTATCAGGGAAAAATAGTGAGGCTAGCCCTAGCAAACAGTTTCTCACTTTTGGCAGACTGACCAAAATCCAAGTGGACCGAGCAGAAACCCGGAAAAGTGCTTTTGTGTCTCGTGCCCTGCTGGCTTATCCAGAGGCCCTAGCAGACGTGGGGGAGGAACCAACATGGCACACATCACCTTGGAACTAGGCAGGTGTCCCTGTGATTTCCAGACCCATGTTTCGGCCCAATGAATTGGCACCCAAGCATTTGGAGCACCCACTGAGTCTCTTCGCAAGGGGTGCAGGTCGAGAGGCTTAATTGATATTTAGGGAGTCAAGCGTACTGCCTAAAGAATGGTATGCAACACCGCTCAGGGGGAAGTGCCGCTTTCCTTTTCCTTTCTTGTTACATCGTTTGTTTTTTGTTTCTTGGGTGTGGTTTCCACGAGGGCCCCCCTTTGGGCCTCTGGTCTTCAGCCACTGACCCCGCGGACCCTGCGGCCCCCGCGAGGTATCGAGCTCCTGCAGAAGGACTTCTCCTGAGCGAAGGGATTTTGGCCTGAGGACCCGCGTGTGGCCCGCGACGCAGGGAGAAGAGAGCGAGTTCAAAAGATCGTCTCTGACATTCCATGAGGACACAAGTCCCCTAGAAAGTCACGTCAACCAACTGCAACAGGTCGATTTCCATTTTGTGGTTTGAAAGGGAGGCCAAAAAGACAGGCCCATTTGTCTTCAAGCTTGACGATGTCGGGTATTTGAGTAAAAGCGTGAATCACGCGGCCAATCTAACAGCAGGCAGGCCTCCGGAGAAACTACTTAAGCAGACAGAGCAACTAAGCCACCAGGACTGCACACCGATGACTTGGCCCCGCAGCTGAAAAGAACTGCAGTTGCCCCTCCATGACTTCGAATCCGAGGCCCCGGAGCCCATCCGTTTTGTTCTTGGGGAAGGCCTGAAGAGCTTCGGGACAAGGACCCTGAACCATAGGTTTCGTTTTTGGGTTGGCTTGGGTTGAAGTAGATGGCACCGGCGTAGCTTGATTTTATATCTGATTAGCAGGGCCTCCATTTTTCTAAAAGGTCACATGTGCAGTGAACAGTTTTAGGATGAGTTCTCGCTTGCCTGCGCCCTTTTCCTGGGCACCAGTTGCGCACGCCCCGAACCCCGATGGCCCGATGGCGATGGAAAAAAGGTGAGCGTAATTGGGAACTCACAGAGAATTCTAAGTGGTAACTTCCCCATGCTTTTCAGGGATGGCACCAAACATAGCAAATGGAGTCGGCGTAGTGCTTGGCCTTTGGGCGCCTTTGAGCTCCCAACACAGTGTGGTTGGTCTCCTGCGTGACCTTTCAGCGCCGAAAGGCGAACAGTGCTTCCTTCCCGCCAGTTTGCTGGACAGTATTTCCTTCTTGGGGTGGTTCAAGCATCGCTTTCGCGGACCAAAAAAAGAGGGAGAGCACGGCTGGGCCAATGGCCAACTTTCAGTTTCGATCAGGCGTCGGTGCATTGGCGCTCACAGGGTCTGCACAGGGATGGGAAGGTTTGACAAAAGCAGCGGCATCCCCAGTCGCAGGCCTGCAAGAGGTGTAGAGCCGTAGCCATTCTGTCCACTTTTTGCGTATTTGAAGCAAGTTTTGCCACCCGGCCGCTTCCTTGTGAGCCACCACTTGCAAATTTGTGGCCCTTTGAGTTCCCATCCCCTGGGTCCCTCCTGCTATGGACCTGCAGGTTTGCTTCGCCTTTCCCGCAAAAATCCCAGCTTCCACCCCTTTTGGAGGACAAGGGACACCCTTGGAACAAGCCATCCAGTCTTAGTGGATCGCCTGGCTTCGGAAGGTGGCTCTTCGGAGCCTCGATGCTTCCCTGGTAGGTCGCCTAGTCTCAAGGGTTTCCCCGAAGGAATGTGCAGTTGTCTACATAGAAGGTCTCGGCCTTGAGTTTGGAGCTGCATCCTAAATCTTAGGTAGTGACTCATGTTGGCATCTACAGGAGTTCCAAATTCAATGCTGTCAGTGCTTGTAAGGGGGGTGTCGGTTTGTCTCAAAGGGGACTGGGTTATCTTTAGTTTCCTTTGACACTATCGAGCAAAAAGCACAGGCTCACGTCCATTTTGTGGGATTGAAAAGAAAGCCATCAACTGTCCCTTCACCGAAGTCCGTGCTTACTGCTTGAACCTGGAGAAGACCAAACGACTCAGACTCTGACTCCGGTCGCTGGCAAGGTGCTGATAGTCCTCTCCTGCCTGAGCTGGCTGGAACCCACGACAACATCCGATACATAGGCCAGTTCTCGCGCGCACGTACTCGCAACGGACTTGCATACCAGAGCCATTCAGGCACTGGGCAGAATCATGAGTTGAATTCAGCGGGCCCTTTTCTTCTGCTGGAAGCCAGCTCATTCGTTGCTTTTTTCTTTCTCTCCACCCGCAAAAAAATCACATGTTTTGTTTTAACCTCAAATCCGAGAGGCTCGGGGGCGTGGCTGTTTTCAAAGCGAGCGCCAGGTGGGGCGCGCTTCGATTGCGCGGCGGAGGGCAGTTCCATTGGGGAGGAGTGGGCGCCGGGCCCCCAGAAATCGCGTTCGATGTTGGAGACCCTTTCTTCAAAATCTATGGCCGGTTTGCTTCATTGATATGTCTGTCTCAACTTTCGCTTTTTCTTTTTTTGTTTCTCTTTTTCAATTTTCGCAAAGGACCTTTTTGTTCGCCATTTAACTGTGGGGGGGGTCCTTTCTTGAAAGCCAATTGCCAATGGTGGTTACTCAGCGAAATCCAACAGTTGAAGATTGGGTCTGGCTTGTATGAGTGTGGGGCTTCCCCCTTATTTGGACTTGGTGCCTTTTTCGAGGCTGTTTGGGGGTTTCACATTTGAACTGGCAAATCAACTTTTGTTATGTTTTGGCAGCGGTTGATTCCTCTTCCATTCTTGTCAACCATGTTTTCCCCTCCCCCCCCCTCCCCGGAAGAACCATGTCGTTTTCAACCTGTTCTGGAAAGAAGGGTGCCTAGAGCGAGTGGCGAGCATTTGGCGATTTGTCAACCTGTCGAGGTTCTTGCATTCCATTTGAAGGAGCAAACACTGAAGCTTCGTTGCCATCAACAGGATTCCTCCTTACCCTTCCACCGGATTGAAAAAGAAAAGGTTTGAACCTACGTTCTTGAAATAGAATGATCCCTGGCGACGCGAAACTTCACGGGTGTCGGGCAAGTTTCAGCCAGCAATTGCCCGGCGTTGGCAACACAAGCTATGCTGCCTTTCACTTCGGGTAGCTTGTCAAGGCTGGAGCCTCATTCTTTTCGGAACGAAGCACAACGTTGTGGGAGTGCATTGTTTGTGCATCTCTTTATGACTCCCCTCTTTGACTCTCGTGCCATGGACACTTCGAGTCGCTATTCCGCGTTGCTATCTTGCAGCACACCTCCCAGCGGTGGCCATGTTCCCCAAAGCAGCGGTTTCTGGAACCGGGGCTTGTGGCTAGGGGTTGACAGTATGAGTCCGAGGGAGCTGATGTGCTTGGAGGTGCATGAAGTTGACTAATTTAGGTTACTTGCAATAGAATGACTTTCATACAAAGAGGAGTTGGACCGCAGGTTTTAGTCCATTCCATTTCCCGATCGGGCAACCCATTTTGGGGTTCTGCGCTTCGCCGGGTACGCCGTTTCACGGGTTTTGTCCGCCTGTTTTGAGGCCCTTCGGCCGCAGCTACTGGATGCTGCCGCGGGTTGCCCGGGCCTTGAGTCTTCGGCCGAAGCCTGGAGCCTCGCGTATTTGTTTGTTTTGTTTTTTGTTTCCTTTTGGACGGGGCTAGCTGGGTCGATTTGTTTTTGAGGGTACCCCTTTGTTGCTGGTCTGACCAGAAGGAAACTTGAGTTTTGCCAAGTAGAATGGTTTGTTGGCGGCTGGGGGGGTATTCTAAAACCACAGCGATGATCATAAGAGAAGGGCGCAATTGAATTAGTTTGTCATGTTCCCACGCCGGGATTTATATCAGTCAGGCGGCCACAGGGGGCCACAGCCATGCTGGTGGACAATTGCTCCTTTTTGTGATGATGCATTTGGATCCCCATGGCTTGTCACCTTGGAAGGAGATTCCCTTGACCATTCACCCCACCTTCCCACCAAGGTGGATTCCCATCACCTCCAAGAATAATCAACTGCACTTCTTAGCGGGAGCCATTCTTTCGTCAGCTCGTTTTATCAGCCTTGCGTACGGGTGGACAACTAAAATTGGTGTGGCCCCGTTGTCACTGAAGAAAACGGGCCCGTCTTTTATGTCCCGCGTATCAGACGTTGACGTGTACATCGGCCTGTCTTTTTTGATGGTACCCCTTTTCATGACTTTTTTTTGGGGGACACAGGGATCCCCAAGCATATTTTAGTTTGGGTGACACAAACCTGAATGGAACGTCTCCATTGTCCATCAGAGTATCCGCCCCATGCCACACGCACAATCCTCTAGCTGTCAGTAGGAGTGGTCGATAAGACTAGGCTTATGTTTCTGATCCAATATTCACCGGTTAGCAGTCAACAGCTACCCAGTTTTGGCTTTGCGTTGTCTCAGTTTCTAGAAGGCAATCAGGGGGCTTTTTCCCTGATCCGACAGCGGAGCCCTCCAGGCCAAGATGTTGCCTGGCATACTTTCCCGCGGTATCTGTGGAAAGGCACACTTTTGTACTCAGGAAGGGAATCGCTCACCAAAAGAACTGTGGCCAGAAGGGTCCCAAAATGTCCCTTTCCCCAGAGATTCAGCATAGTGTTCCCAAGGCAAATGCAAAGCCAGGCACACACACACACACACACACATGCCACCACTTTTTGTTGGTTTTCCAGGAGTCAGCAGAGGACAGAATTGCTTTCCATGTGCGAGGATCAGCCAGGCTGGCAAGTGACACCAACATGGACGATGGACGCCCTTCGACAAAGCCACTGGTAGTCAATGTTATTTCACAGGACCACCCAGGGTTGGGGACAACCCAATGAATATATTGTCTGTTGCTCATACGAAGTTCGGTCAGCAGTCTATGGTCCGTGTGGCAGGGCAAGGACTTATATTTTTTCAAACCTGGGGACGGGGTGGGTAATTTTACGAATCCCAACCCACAGCAGGCATTTTAGGCGGCCAGGTGTTTTCGGGGTGATGTTGGCCGATTATTGGGATGGATCGCACACTCGTGGGACACTGGCGAAGCGTCACCCATCCGTATCTGAAAATCGCGAAGACATGAAGGAACTGCCCTTTGTTTCCAGCTCGACTGCGCGCCGTTTTTCTGGCGCGGTGAGCCACGCAGAAAACGCATACATACTTTCTTTCACCTCTTCTGGGCCAATCATAACCAGCTCACGCGGGGTGGAACAAGCTTACACATGAAGGTCCCTTGCTTTGGGATTCCCTGATTGTTGGGTAATTCATGATGGAACCTTGCCCAGTTTGAAAGGAGCGACAGCTGCGACAGAGTCGCGCGACAAGCCAAGCCGATCGCCCAGGAGATCGCGGTGCAGCCTGCTGTGAGTGCCGGGCCCTTGAGGTGTTGGCCTGCTTTTGCTAACGAGTGGAGTCCAAAGAAACAATTCAGGGGTATCGCCAATAACTAGCCCCTCCAGAACCTGGCTGGCTTGTTAGGCAA